GTTTGAATGGGGAATTCTAAACTCTAATTTTCTTTCTTTCTGTTCTAGCAAAGTTCTTTTTAACTGATTTTCATAGACTACAATGCACTCTCTTATGAAGGCCTTCCCAAATTTTTAAAAATTAATTTGTAAACAACATTGTTTTTGGACACCCCCAATACATGCAAATAACTGAAAGACCAATAGTATTTCAAGGTATAGTCATCTTCTTGTCAGCTGAAAGAAAAAAATATAATCCATAATGTCCTGGCATAATAATGTCAAATAGCAAGCCCTTCCAAAAATAAACAAGAGACCCATCTCTAGTGGAAAAATTATCTGCATTTTTTTCAGTTTGTACATTCATAGTATTATGGTTTAATAGTAATATAAATGAGAGGTTCTATGATCCACTTAAAGAACACTAAAAAATTATCAAGAGATAGAATATAAACCTGAATGAACAAAGATGCTGATATATTTCTGTTTTATAAGAATACTAAATATTTTTAAAATATAATTATATCTATATTAACTGAATAAGTTATTTCAAAGTAAAGTCTCAGTAAGATTCTAAAATATTGGTACCGTATATAAATTTTTTTGAGGTTTTTATTTGTGAAAAGAATTGGGAAGGAGAAAGAAGATTCCAAGTTGGTTTATCAATTACAAGTCAATTACAACTTTCAAGCTAAGAATGCAAAATTAAATATTTGTGCAGCTAGCTATTGTTCACTGAAATAATACTTTAATCCTAGTGTTATAGTGCACATTTTCACATGATGACATACATAAGAAGTTATGTGTATGTATATAATTATGTATACATATAAAATATACATATAATGTATGTGTGTGAAAATTACATTTTTATATGTGATTATATATGCATAAAAAATATACATATGTGTATGTTTGAATATACATATACATATATGCAAACGATATGGGTATCAACTAGACAAGGCTCTTTATCACAAAAATCTAAACTTATCACTTCTGCCAAGGGTTAAAGTGATCAATATCTTGGGATACCTGCAACCCATTTCCTGATGTTAGGTTCTATCATGTGCTGATTAGTAATCTCTGACTGATGCACTGAATCATTTCTATGCCTTTTCTCATGAAATTGATAGAATCTGTGGGAATAAGTAAGTTGTGAACATTTAATGAAGGGAACACAAAAGCAACCATTGAAATTACAGGTTCTATTCCTACTTGATTCATAGTTTCTGTTGAAGAATCATAATATAAATTCATAATTTATTTGTTAGACAACATTTGAAAGAGCAATAGATTTGTATTCCTTTTTTTCTCTCTTCTTCTATTCTATATCTTTTTTGGAAGAAGAAGAAAAAAGGAACATAAATCTATTACTTTTACAAATATTATCTTTAAAATGACAAATTTATATTAAGATTTTTCAACAGAAACCATGAATTATCTTTATTTGGATATCTTATCTTATGTTGTAGAATGTTATAAATTTAAACTATTGCTAGCCAAAACAAGGCATAGAGAATAAAGTGTACAAGAAAATAAGGATATTTTTACTTTTTTAGTGTAAATACTACCTACTTTTTGAAATGCATCCCCAGTGCTTATTATTCTGAAAGAGAAACTTAGAAATAATTGAGTTCACAGCATTTTTCAAGCTGCTTCAAGTTGCTAGTGAACAAGCTAGGTTTAGTACTTCTACAAATCAATGGAAATCTTATGGATGAGTCCCTACATTTTCCACAGTGAATCTGTCACCTTAGTCTTGTGTAACAATTCTCTGCATGCAGTTCCTTGCAGCTAATCCATATCAGCCAATATTCATTTGATTTTAAAGAACTGACAGAAACATCAAAGGCTTTCACATATGACAAGAAATGAGGACAATAAATTTGTCCTTGACTGATAATGGCATTTTTAAATATGAAAATTGGAGTATTAGAATACATTACTGTGGATAAGCTTATTTATTTACTTTTTTCCCAAGTTACAACATTTCAGTAAAGTGAGAATGACATAGCTCAATTTATAGAATTTATAGATCTTTAATCCATTACATCATTTACTGCTGTTTTATTTGCATATAACATTCTAAATGATGATATATGCTTTATGTACTAAATCTTCCTTATTTTGATCTTATATTGAATTTATTTTAATGAGTTTTCTTTAAATTCAATAAAGGAGTTCAATAGACTTTAAATAAAGAATAATTTTGAAAAATAAAGCACTATTTTAGAGATGATGGACAATACCCTAATATTTGATATAAAATATGGAAAAATGAATTTGCCTCAAATAAGAATATTAGAAAAGCTTGTTTTGAATAGATTTACCATAATTTAAAATGTTGTATGGCTTTCATCACTTTTTAAACAACTAGTCAGACTATTAGGGAAAAGAATCAATAGTCATTATAATTTGCCATCATCATAACTCATCATCAACTGCTGTTTCACACCAAATATTTAATGTTAAACAAGAGTGTGTGATGCAATATTAATCCCTGCATGGGAATTACTATCTCAAATTTATAGGTAGGAAATATTTATTATAGACAAATGGATATTCACTGAATATTGAGTCTGTGTGTAGTGGCAAAAAATATAAAAACCGTACTTAATATAATTTTGTTATGGTGATGCTTGGAAAAGAGGATATTTAACTTTGTGACTTTGGCATGAAACATCTCAAACATCACCATATACACTTTATTAAGATAATCGTGGACTCAAACAGTTGTACAAACGATGAAAGTACATTCATACATTTGATGAACAGTGATACACATGCAGAAATACATTTCTTGACTTGGAGAAGCTTGTTAATATGCTGATATTTGGCATATAATTACTAATGCATGACTGAATTTTCAGTGGTTGACCCTTAAGAGACCTTTGTTTTGAATTATGAATTAAAACATAGCAATAACAAAATTGATTTAATTATAGAGAATTCCAATTAAGTAGCTAGAATCGTGAACTCAACAAAAAATGATTAATTATTATTTGTATAGCACAGTCTAAAATACATCTTAAAAATACATCTTTGGCATAATGTAAACTTCTAAGATGTCTAGACTTCCTTTCTGTCCTAAATGCCTTTGTTATGTGTAGGATTAAAATGCAAGCACTCCATCAAAGCTAGAACTCTCCTACCAATTTGGAGTGAGCATATTGGCAGAAACCTGCTGTCATATGAAGGATACGATACAAAAGATACATAAATGTCAGCCAAATACTAAGTGGCAGTGTTGAAAAATGTTGTATAGGCACTTTCTAGGAATTGAGGCTATAAATTCTGCATAGGAAAAAATACTATAGTGAGCATAGGTAGAAACTATCAATATGTCAGCAAGTAATAAGCACATGTTCGAGCAGCCTTTGTATATGATGACGGTATTGATCTGCCATCAGTGGGGCATGCACTTGATGCTGTTTGGACTGAAAGGAATGATGAATTTGACAGGATCTGCTTGAACATAATTATGAAAAACAGGTGCCTTTGGGAAACAGATTCTTTTCCCTAAATGAATCCACCTGACCTGGATTGACCTGTTACAAAGAACTGAACCTACTGACCTTGATCTGCATGTGTCTACCTCCACATTGGTGTGTGCAGAGACCATTCATTATTCAAGGCAAAGGGTTTAGTCCTAATGGTAGAATAGTGCCTTGTTAGATAGTTTAAAAGTTGAATTCACTCAGTCTCCTGCTTCCCCTTCCTCTGGACTGACTATGTAATTGTGTCCTGGGAGCAGCAGCCACAGTTGTTTAAAGATATTTGCGATTTTATTGGTGTTATATAAAGACTTCAGATAGTGAAGTGATTTAGCAGAGTTGCCACATTGTCCCTGCGATATCCCGAAGCCTACATCTAGTTCCCTTTACCTGGTAACTTCTTATTTCTTTTCCCCCTCTAATATTTAGTGTGATAATCCATATGACAGCAATGAAAAAAATTGCTCAAAAATAGTCAAGAAATGAAAAGCAAATAATTTAATAAATCATTTTCTCTGGTTAATATGGTTTGAATAATAAACCACTGTCATCCATGACTTAATGCCTGGATTTATTTTCTTTTCTATACATATTTCTGCAATCTTGTCAACATAGTCTAAGCATCTCGGCATCTGTGAATTTCATGAAAGATTTTGACAATAGCTATGACAAAATAATTGTCGAAAATGGCTGGGGGGTGGGAGAATTAAAAATTAAGTTAGCATGTGACCCATAATATATTTTCCTTTTTGACTTGCAAACATGTTAATACAATAATGTCTAAAATTTGCAGATACTGTTAGAGTCTGTAAACAAGTCAAGATGGCGCCTGGCAAATGTTAGAGTCTGTAAACAAGTCTGGATGGCGCCTGGCATTTTGCCAGAGGGAGTGGTTTGTGAAGTCACGCCAGTGAGCCATTAAGTGTGGAGATTCCTTATTGGTTGACTGCTATATAGAGTTTATGTTAATTAGATAAGCTGTGTGGAATGTATAAATACCGCTCCTGTCCTACAATAAATGGCTTCCGTTCCTGCTGTATCAATGTACACAAGTTGTTCGTCACCCCCCGGTTATTTTGCTGCAGCCAGACTGCGGCAGATACTATGTGGAATGGATTATTAGAGATGTTTTCATGAAGTAGCTCTGCTAATCATAGAAAACTTAAGAAGTAATGATATTAATTTGACAAGTTAGAGGTAAGAGAGCTGAGGCACAGCACTTAGTCGACTTTTTGGTCATGATATAAGAAGCAGCAGTCTGATTCTAATTCAGGCTGCAAGACTTTCCAAAGTGATTCTTCCTAAGAAGTCTTTGATTTGGGCTTTTTCTTTATACCATCTCTTCTGAATATTGTTCTCTCAGACTATTGAATTTTATTTCCAAGTATGTTAGTTTTCTATTGCTACTGTAACAGATGATCACGAATTTAGTGGCTTGAAATAATAATTTTTTTTTTTTTTTTGCCTTGCTATTCTGGAAGTCTAAAGTCCAGCATTGATCCTCACTGGGCGAAAAATCAGTGTCATCAGGGATACATCCCTTCTGGAGGGCCTAGGGGAAAATCTACTTTCTTTGCCCCTTTGAACTTCTGCAGGACTCTTCCTTTCTTGATTCATGGATTCACTATTTGTTTTCAAGGTAAGAAATACAGCATCTCCCCATTTACCTTCCTGGCTCTGGTCCTCCCATCTCCCCCTATAAGGATTCAAGGGATACATGGGCCCACCCACCCAAAAAATCCAGGCTAATTTTCTGCATCTCAAAATTTTAAACTTAATTACATTCCCAAAGTCTTGTGGGAATATACCTTATATGTTGGCTTTATAAGGTAACATATTTAGGTTCTGGAGATGAAAAAATTCACACTTGTATGGCCATATTTCACTTTTCGGACCTAGGGTTCCTGCACTGTCAGTACTACGTGAATGCTATTTATTTGACCTATGGTGTGATCATTGGCTTTTCAGGCAAAGCTGACTGAGTACCAAGTGGCCTTCAGTGACTTCTGCAATGTCTTCCTCCCCAGTCACTGATGTAGATGATCCTGCTGGCTCAGTCATCTGATAATAACCACCAGGTGTTAAATGAAAAAAAAATCATTTAACCTATGAAGAGGCTAAATCTACCCAACAGTTTGTTAGTATCCTTGTAAGTTTTATGTAGAATAATGATTATAACTCATACCACTCATTACATCTTAGATTTTCAGCTTTTCTAAGTCATACCCTCAGGTTACAGAATTCAAGTTTATACTGTTATGGAACCAAAATTTGGTTCTTCAAAATTCTATTGAGATGCTTGCTCAGATTAAGCAAAATTTCATCCTTTGAACTGAACACCAATGTATGCCAAAAATATTGCAGATATTATCTGATCTGATTTTCTGAACAATTACCAAGATAACCTGAATTCTGACTACTTCTAAAACCCTATCCTCTGACCTCTCTCTCACTGTTTTCCTGAGCAGCAGCTGCCCAAGCCTCCATGTGACACCTCAGATACATAGACCATAGGTTTTCTTCAGGGCCATTGTGCTCACTGTCCTGCAGATAACTAGGGTTTTTTTTTTTTTATGTTGCTCAGGGTTTTTCAAATGCCATTTACTTATGCAGGATTTCTTGACAATTCTATTAAAATTCTCTGTCTTCCCACCTGGCTTTTTTTTTTCAGGGTATTTGTTGGTAGGTTATTTTTTTTTTTTTCGTTAGATTTCTTTACTCTCTATATCCTGCACTGATAATTCAGTATATCAGTATTCCAGCAAATCTGGGATGTGGCATTCTACAACAGTTCCTAGAATACTATGTGGCATTAAAGATGCATTCAAGAGGTATTTTATAGACCAAAAACACTGTGGTTTAGCAAGTTTAAGCAACTGTTTGAAGGTTGTGATAACTCCAATTCCATGTCCAATATCTTATATCATAACTGTTTTTAAAATACAGTTCAATTCTTTGGCTAAGTACATTTCTGATCTCTAAATCAGACACAAAAAATACACACAGACACTTGGGCTAAAATTATCTCATAAGCATATATGACCCTTTATTTTGTATAAAATATAAATATGGATCTTGCTGCTCATGTGACTATATCCCCTTGCCTTTCTTTGTTTACTGTGTACTTCTGGCTTCTATTATGACAAGATTCTATTTTAACTCCCCTGATACCATGGAGCCCACCTCTCCAGCAGTGTCCTTTTTGGTCAACCCTGTGTGCAGAGAAACAGCCACCCCTCTTTAGTAGCTCATTTCCTGTTGTCTAGTGAAGGCATCCTCCTCCTCCAGAGCACAGTCATGTGACAGGGTCTCCAGTGTCATCTATTAAGTCCAGGCTAATACCCCTACCTTCCTGAGTCTTCTAAATTTTTCATCAACATTCTTTCCAAAGCAGTTTCAGTAACTTCTCATTTACCTTGAGAAAACTTCAAAGGTTTTCTTTCCTTCAGTGACAAACAGACTATGAGATGTCCCTTAGTATCCCTGCCTCTTGTCCTTCATGCAGTTTTATAATCCCCTTCACTTGAGTGTGAGGTACCTATGGAGTGGGCACTTATCAAGAAACTGAGGCTTACAGTCAACAAGAAACTGAAGGCTTTAGTCTAAGAGGCCAAAAGACTGAATTCTACCAACAAACTCATGTGTGTGGAAGTGGACCCAGTCAAGCCCTAACATGAATCTATAGCCCAAGTCAATACCTCAATTGTAGCCTTGTGAGATCCCAAAGCTTAGGGACCAGATAACCTATGCCCAGTTCCCTGATCCACAGACACTGGGAAAATAAATATGTATTTTATAAGCTTATGAATTCATTGCAATTTGTAATTCAGAAAATGATAATTTATATAACTAAGTACATTTCCACACATCCTTGCCAAAACCTACCACCTGTATCATAGAATAGCTCTCCGTGTCAATTAATCCTCTGATATCCAGGCATATATTGTACACATCCCCAGTTCAACATCTTCAAGATCTACTCTGGTCCTTTCTCCCAGTACATACAAAACAGATCTTAGAGTTTTATGCACATGGATGCCATTTATTGTCAGAGCAGAAAATACATTCCATGCTTGAGTTGTGAGGTAGTTATTGTCCTTTCAGCAGAGAGAGTAAGAAGAGATGACATTGAAGAGGAAAAAATTCATTTCTATCAGCCCTTACTCAGGAAAAGTCTTTGCAATATCTCCAGAAACTAGGGGGTGATTTCCCTAGAAAGATGAGCAGGGTGCTGCTTTTAATAGCCTTGTGCACTTGGCAAAGTCTAGGGTTGAAGATTCAAGAACATTAGATTTACCTAACCCAGTGTCAGGGTCTCATTATTTTCCTATGCACTCAGTCTCATTGGATGTTCAGCTTCCCTTACAATTAATCCTGGGTTTGGTTTCCAGCACTCTGTTCTCTATTACAGCAGTTTCAAAGTTCCTTTAAACTGTGCTAAGTCTTTTCAATTTTGCAGCAAGCTTTGAATTGACAGTTGATAGACCTAAGACTGTCATTATATTTTCTTAGGACTTCCTTAGCATTAAAATAAGTAACAATGATCTTTATATTTATCATTAACAAAATAATTTTCAAGTGTAACAACTACCACATAAACCTATGCTTTCCTTTCACCTGTACTCCATTCCAATTTACAGTTCAAAAATCATGGAGCTGCAAAAGGCTGAGGATTGACACTACCCCACACTGCATCAGCAATACTTCATTCTTGAATCCAGTCCCAGAATTCCATTCTGTGAGTCTGTTTTCTACCTCATTTAATGCTTTACTGGTATCAAAAGCCTCACTCTGAGTATCCTATGGAAATAAGAATTGGAGAAAAATAACTTACATGAAGCAGCTTATTTTGACCATTGATTTCAGGGAATCACAATGGATATCTGCAAAGACTAAAAAGAGGAAGATTATTGGGTTAGTTACTGATGCAGGCCACTGGGGATTGGTCTACCTGGGACTTTCTAATGAAGCTATTTTGAATGTATTTCAGAATTGTCTGCTGAGGAACAAAATAGTATGGATTTATATGTCAACCACATTACCCATCTGTTGAGGATGAACACATGTAAGATGTTATTTTCCCTACATTTCAGAACTTTCCATTAAAACCTTTTGCATTCAGAGCAGTATCCCATAGGTATTCTATACTATGTGGTCAGAAATGCCCTGATAAAGGAGGTAAAAAAAAAAAAAAGGCCAGATGATGCCTGAGGTTAGAAACTGTTAAGGTAGCTCAAAATAGCATTCTTGGTTCATATTTTCTCTATGTCTGAGCTTTATTCATATTATTCTGTTATCTTGTAGTAGTGTATGCTCCTTTTGAGAAAGAGCACAGCCATGTCTTCAACCTTAATGATCCAATTTTATGTATCTAGATGTTTTAAAAATCTCTTAATCATTGAATTCTCAATTTCATTATCTTTCCTGGAATGCAGTGGGTCACTTTTATTTGCAATTTCGACTTTTCCTCATTTTGTTTTTTTTTATTAATATGTTTGAGTCATTTTGATGTAAAACTCACTCAAGCAAACAAAATACCATGAAAGAATTGTTTTTTTTTGTCTTTTTAATTTATTTTCCACTCTCAAATTGCTTTCATCTTGTAGTTTCATTGTGTTCCCATTAATCATCTCTAGTGTTTCCTCCATGTTACTTATGGTTTATAGCGATTCTTATTTTCTAATTTGATTGTTATTTTCTGGTTGAGCTTTAAATGCATTTATGTATTCCAGATTATCATCCTTTGTTACATATGCAGTGTGCAAATATTTTCTCTCTGTAACTTTTTAAAAATAATCCCTTTTCCAGAGTCTTTTGCTGAGCACGAGATTTAATTTTGATAAGGCCTAGTATCTCAGACTTTTCTTTCATCAACTGTTTAATGTTTATTTTCAATCAGAGAGTTTGAATACTGATGTTACAGATGAATTAGTAAAATTGAGTCACTGACTGAATGTGAGTGAGAGGAGATTTTGATAGATGGATGATCCTTGAAGAAGGAATTCATTCAGATCAAGAACATGATGAGCAGGGATTGACCATGTGCAAGCTTGAAATAAAGTGTCGGAAAGGTATGTGACAGTCCTACTTAAGAAGACTTGGAAGCAAAGAAGCTCCTATTGGGGCTTAGGATAGGGTTCTCAAAACTTTTCAGCAACAGACCTTTTTGATTGGACTACTTAAGTGGATAAAAAATCATGACCTTAAATAACGTAAGGGAGTCTTGTACTCTTCAGTTCAACACAGGCCTTAAACCGTTTTTGCATTCATATATTAGAGTTTGACACCCCAACTTGAGACCATGAACCTGTTGATGGGTCCAAAGGCTGGCAGCAGTTAGGGCCACTTATCTTAACTGTTTACTTTTTGGCTACCACTGTGATCTGAGGCAAGAATTGTCATGTTAGCTAATTCACAAAGAAAGTGGAGTTTCTGTATGTTGTTCAGACCTCATTGTTTTTAGCTACAAAGATTGTGCTTTTTCTAATATTTCTCCCCCACCAGCTGCTGTCCATAAAGAGCATTGTTATTTCAATGGCTATTTTAAGTTTAGTATATTCATGTTTAACATTTCAAGTTGTCATGTGTATAATTTTTGCCACTAAATTTGTTCACTATCAATAGGACATATAGTTTTTTATTAGAAAATAGGGTACACATCATAACTACATGGTCAAAGCAAATATCCACATTCTTGGTTACATTCAGTTGTTGTAAAAATAGCCAAGTGGCAGATGGAGATTTTTACAGCCCTTGTGATTGAAAAGTAAATAAGAAAAGTATTTGTCAAAGCCCATGGTCTTTGATGAAAAGGGGATTAACTGGGGAAAACATACCTACATTGTCATTGAGCAACATTGAAGAATGTGTTTTATTGTATTTATTCATCTATTTTTTACAAAGTAACAAGTATCAAACCTAAAGTTCTAAAAAAAAATATTTCAGATTGTTACTCTTCTGACTTATATTTTCGAAACTTCCTTTGTAGAAATACAAGAGTACAAATTATCATTTTAAATGCACCAAAAAGTACCCACAAGAAAAAATTAAATATTGACTTGGATTTTACCGATAAATAATTTTACAAGGATGGGAAACCCTATTTCCAACTTCCTATAAGACAATAACAGAATCAGAAATTATAAGGCATATTTTATGATCTAGTTTGACACTAGAAAATCCCTAACATTAGAGAGTAGTAAATTATACAAAAGGGACATAAGAATTTTGGATTCAATTTACTTTTTGGTTTAGAATTTAAATTTAATAATTAAAAAACATTAATAAAATTAAAATATTATGATCCTTTCTTGCATGTTCAACAATGCAGGGATTTTGAAAAGTTTTAAAAATATATCATGATGCTTACATTTTATTACAACAGAAACTGTTTTAATTCTTCACACAACTTATAGTCTAGATAGTCACTAATTTTGTATGTCTATCTTCCTTGCAGATGTGGAAAGTAAGGAAACTTTTCAAAAATAACCTAATGTTACCTAGAAAACCTAAAACAAATATTGTACTTCATAGTGAATCAGAGGTTGTTACTCGATTATTAACTCCATTATTAATTATGTATTGTATTTTTCATTGTACTTAATATATTTTCTTGCACTTTTTTTTTGAACTTGATAATCATTCCAGATGATTATAGTAAGAAATGGATATAAAGTTCCTGGCTTTGTTTTTAAGTGAGGTTACAAATTTTATAGCTCAAAATGTAGTTTTGAAAGCTTTTAACTATACATGTTGAACTGCTTTCCATATGAAAGCATCATGTAATTCTTTTATAATGTGTTTCTATTCATACACTACATAGGAAATTTCAAAAGTTCATATTGAAGAAATGTAGAAGGAAAACAAATAAATGCAAGCAATCAAGCAGTGTGATCAAACAACATGAGATTCAGGGTATAATGTGCAACTGTCTTGAATACTCATCAGACAAAAAATATGTGAAGGTTTCTACTCTGTGAAGCTTTATTTTTCCTAACCTTTTTTTTCATCATATGTGACTTTGTCAGGCAAAAAGGAAAGGAAGGTATGACCTCATTAAAACCCAGTTGAATAAAACATATAAAAGACAAAATTAACTAAAGCCTCTAAGAACTCCATATTGGATGTTCACTACCTGGCTGCTAGGTGTCACCTGCTACAGTTTTGAAATGTATCCTGTAGAATATTTTATCATTGTATTTTTATAAATCTTCTCTCTAGTTGTGTGGATTTTTTTTAAAGATAAAGGAAAGAACACAAAATCGAATCAGGTTTAAAAATTAGAATTTTTCAAAGTTCTAGAGGCCATGAATTGATATAAGATTTAGTTTTTCCTATTAATAATTCTACTGATCATCATGATATAAACTGATGAGACAAACTCTCTTTCTTTGAAATGTAAATGATGATAAGAGCTTTAAAGTAGATATGGTAATATGTTATTATGTCTCAACATGTAGCAAGACAAATTTTCTTTGGATTTTAGCACATATTTTATGACAAGCATAAAAAATCGAATGTGTTTTCTATCCAATCCAACTAGAATTAATTTTTTAATGGGACAAGGTATAAGTCTCATTTTCTCCATATGAATAACCAGTTTTATCAGCACTATCATTGCATAAATAAGCTAATTTTCATCTGTGATACATAAAAGTCGATATCCATTTAAATCTATTTCTGCAACCTCAATTCTGTCCATCAATTTATTTTTCTCTATCTTGCAAATATCTTACACTTTGTTTTAATACAGAATAGTGAGAATATGCTTTATTTTCTAGTATGGAAAAACCTTCTTCAGTATTACTTTGCAATAATTTTATTTTAACATTTTTATCTGAAAATATTACCTATCATCAGTGATTAATGAATGTTATAAAAATTGTGGCCATCTATTCACATAATCATGCCTTCACTACTTTGATCTTTTTGTTATGTCTTGTTTTAAAATTTCTTAATTTGTTAGACGTCCCATGAAGTCGATTTTAGATACATGGCTACTACATATTTTCCTAGCTAACAATACAGTCCTTTATTAAGTCTTTTAAAAATACTGTTGAGTACTGACCCATCATCACATAGTTGTTGTTCATTGTTTCTGGTATTGGTGCTGTCCATCCTTTCCAACAATGATAATCAGTATCAGGTCAGAATGAAGTGACCTAAGCAAATTACATTTCACTTTTTATTGGTATTTCCTGATGTAAAAACAAAGCACAAAGCAATTTTTAAAAGTACATTTAAGAATACTAAACTTAAGGGGAAAAGTACATTCAACAATGAATCAGAATTATTTGGTCTGTAGAACTTTCCTTGAGACCACATATTTTGAAACAAAAGATAAAATAGATATAAACTGATGAGACAGTGTCATGGTATTTCAAGGCCATGTGTCATGGTATTTCAAGGACATATTTTCAAAGAAAATGTTTCCTTGTATAAAAATGTTTGCTTCATTAGTTCCTTAATATCTCATGCAAGTTGTTTGCAAAGACAATCTTTATCAAACTAGAAAATAACTGCTTGGAAATATGTTGCTTATAACCATCATGGCACCCACAAATGGTAGTGCTGATAGCTGTGACACTTCAAAAGGGACATTCTACCACCAAAATCACTCTAGAAACACTTGACATTAAAGTTATTCATACCTGTGTAGCATCTTGGGTTCTACCAATAAAATCATTTTCTCATGAAAGCTATGCTCTATGTCCACGAGAAACCATGTTTTTCAGTGTAGACAGACTTGGAATAACACTGAGTGTAGAAACACAGGGAGCCATTCTCTTCCTTGGTCTGGCCAGTCCTTTAGTAGGGAAGGACCCTTTATGCAGTTAGGTAAGTAGACTCTGTCAAGTGTTTCAGCAAATTTGGGAGGAGGCTTACTCTAAGATTTATGGGGTTGGCAGAAGACTATTGAGAATCAGACCTTACAGGATAGAGAGCAACTAACTATACACCTCGTAGTGCCCAGCATTGCTACCTAATCTTGTACTTCATGGTTTAGAATTTAATGCAAATGGTTACTCAGATATTCACTGTCTTTTGGACCTGCCCTCACTTTCCTAGTGATTCCACATTGACTCTTGATCCA